GGCTGTCAGTGAGGAGCAGGAGGAGGAGGAAGAGGAGGAAGTGGCGAATGTTTTTTGTTCTACCTGCAAGATACCAATCCGAGCTTTTGACAAACTATTTGGTGAGCACAAGGATCATGAGGTGACTCAACTGCCCAATGCCTTGGAAAGTGAAAAGGTGAGAGTAATACAGGTGTACTGGGGTGCCTCTAAACCACTGTTCAGACATAATAAGAATCACACTGGGTGTTTTGTAGGAAGAGATTCATAAAAACATGTGCAAGTTAGAAGAACAGATTGCTCAGATGGAAAATGTTGCCAGTCATTTGGAGGAAATCTTCCTCACTGTAGAGGTAAGGCATTTTTTCTTGGGCTAACTTTATGGTACTGGTGTTAAACAATTTTGACAGTCATATTGACACTCATAGTGTTCAGTTGTTGATGAAGTGAGTAATTATAGTAACAGAGCACAGAGTTACCTTGGGATTCGCCTAGATTGAAGTACTCAGAAAAACTAATCCTAATGAATTCTTTATGTGGACTAATAAAACCATATTTAGCATTTGCATAGAAATTTGCATTCAGAAATGAAGTGCCCCCCCTCCCCTCTCAGGTTATCTTAGTTTTAAATGGCCAAAGACCTGTGATCTAGCTAGTCCATCCTGACTGCACCCCTTGTGTTCCCTCGGTTTCATTCACAGAAGTGTCAGACACAGGCAAACCCCTGGACCAGCTGCATCAAGCTGATGACTTCAAGGGTTGTGCTCCTGCTCGGCTGCTGTCAGCTTGGCCCCAGGGGAAGGGGGTCAGCTGGCAGCAAGTCAAACTGAAGCAATGACTCAAGGCACCTATGGTCTTTGCTCCATGTGGCACAGGAGGACATTGGTGCACGAGCAGTGGGTGGCTGCTGGCAATAAAGCCTTGCCTGCTCCTTAAATTTTCCTTCCTAATGCTTTCTCCAGCAGCTAGCAAGGATATCAGCATTAGCTGCTCAGCTCCCCCAGCACAAATCCATGGATCCCACTGGGTTGCCATGGTTTCTCTCATGGAAGGATGTGCTTGTTGGTGGAAACGCTTGTGAGATTACAGCTAGGATATAACCTAGTTGTGCTCCCTGGGCTTAGGTTGCCTTGCATCTTACTTTTTTTTATAACTCTGTTGCTCTTATGTCTGGAACAAAATCCAACATTCTTTTGTACCTCAGTTGAGTGAATGATCAGAATGCATTCCCCTAAAATGCAAATTAGTCAAATTCCATCTTCTGTGTACTGGCACTGTGTCCTGGCTTTGTGAATTAAATCGCGACGTTGCCTCCCTAGTAAGGAGAATTTTAAGCAGACTTGGAGTTTTCTCTGGATGACCTATGGATCAGGCTTGATGCCAAGATACAAACCCCCAAATGCCTTGCAGGAAAATTTTGGGAGGCAGGAGCAGAACTTTGAGGTGCATTACAACGACGCAGTACAAGTGCTTGCTCAAAAGTACGAAGAACAGCTGGAAGCACTGGGGGAAGAGAAGAGGCAGAAGCTGGAAGCTCTATATGAGCAGCTGGTCAGTTCTGGGAAACTTCTTGACACCTGCAAAGAACTGACAGACAAAACCCATGAACTTTTCCTGGAAAATGACAAAGCTGAATTTATGAAGGTAAAGAACTTTAACTGTTAAGGCCCCTCCTAAGTGCTTTTTGCTGCTTGCAAGTAGTCCCCAGCCAGGAAGTTCCAAGCGGTTTTATTCTGGAGAGCATTCGGGGTGCTCAGTCCATGCTGCTGTCAGTGCTCCAGGTTCTTGCCATGGTGGCATCAACTTAGTAGGGCAACACAACTGGGGCAAAATGCAGAAGCAGAAGTTTGTAATTTGGGTGCTCATTGATTTGTGAGTCACACTGGGGTTCAGAGGGAAGACATCTCCCTAGAATGCTTATCTCAGGAAACTCTGGAAGCACTTAGTGTTCACTGCCTCTTGCAGGCTCAGCTCTCTTGCTCTGTTCTGGGCTCAGAGCAGGCAGGCTGATGCAATCACTTTGGAGAAGGTTTCTTTTTCTTCCTCATTTTTTTGGAAAGTTCAGCTGAACAGGAGGCTCCAAACTAAATACATCAGGAGCTCCTGCAAAGCGATGGATGCATCCCTCTCTTGAGATGGTGTCATGAAGTTATTTTGCTTTGGCAGGTAGAAAAATAATTGGGGAAAAAAAGAGAATTTTCACTGCTGATGAGTGATTGCTCTAACTTGAGCTGTCTTGTGACTCAGGTGGATGGGAGCATTTCTGTAGCACAGCCACAGTAACTTATGAACTGGACAACAAACCAATCTCCTGAACACCTCCAGTCTGCTCCAGTGGATCAGTTTGCTATGGCACTTCAACCTCCTGAGTTCTTCGCATGAGCTGACTTTTCCCATTCCTTTGAATCCCTGGAATAACCTTCTTTTCTCCTTAGCTTGTAAACAGTTTTACATCACCCCTAAGAACCATTATTCACCAAGAAGTGAATACCTGTTGGTCACGAGCTCTCAGCTGCTTAGGTTTCTCCAGGGACTGTACATCTGTCTTCCAGCTACATGCACTGCTCATATTCCCTCTGGTGCAGATCATTTCAATCAGTTCTTTTCCCCAGCTGTTTTTGAGTTTTTTTTGTGAAGAATCTTTTGGCACTTCAGACAACTTAGGAAGGAATCAGCTTAGTGTCTAATTAGGAGGTCACTGCCTGATATTGCACTTTATTCTACTGTAAATTGAGCCAAGATCTGTCCCTTTGAATGGACAGTTAGATGTGACTTTGTTCTCAGATCTGG